GGTGGGCAAAAAACATGGCAAATCGATTTGACCCAAAAATTTCTGTGTTGTGGTCACGTGATTAAATAATTTTTTGATACAAAAAACTAGACATGTGGACCTTCATTTTACTTTTTACAGATTTGATCTAGCTCTTCTAGTTTAGCTGTAATCACAAAAACCGCAGCGACAGATTTTGTTGACTGGGTATATATCATTGGAAATACACAACACCTTTGAGGCCTGCAATTGAGATGCAGACAATTGCCATGTGTTTGAAAGGTTCCGATTGGCAGCAAATAAATGAAAAGTTATGATAGTTTTGATAATAGAGTTGTGTTTTGGGCCCACAATCTGTTCAGAAAGGGATTATATTATTGACATTAAGTTACGTTATGTAAAGAAATCGTTTACTTTTGATGGTTATGACCAGTGTTTCCGTATAGATATTCAATTCATTGTCTAATTAATTGTTTTATAATTCAATTATTTTAAAGTAATTTATAATTCATGTTGAAACGAGTGACAGACAGAGTCTGTGTTGAGGTCTGACAATACGTTTGGAAAACTTTTCCATTGTATGCAATAATAGCCGCAAAATATATTATTTTGTAGATATGTTTGCTTTCGATTCCATGGCTCACACATTGAGACACAGATTCTTTGACTGTCAAAGCGTGCGAAATTGGCTTAAATCTCAAACTGTAGGCGCAATGTATCGCTCAAAACAATTATGTATTTGAGTCCGAATTGAATAGGCTTGGCCAAACGCTATCGTCATTTGTGTAAGAATAGAGTGACCAACATATAAACTTTAAGCATGTGTTTATTTCAAATTGAACATTTCTTATAATCTATTAATCAATTATTTAACGTCTGTTTCCTTTAATGCTGTCTTATATAGATTACTCAGATTTGTAATATCTTTGTTTTTTAAATATGTAAAAATTTCAACCGATTTTAACCCACAATTAACCGAATTCTTTCATAGAAATAATGTAAATTTTTAAAAATTTAAATGTAATAAACCTGAAAAATTGCTTTTTCTATATTTAATTTTAAACAATTTGATGTTTAAATCACTAAAATACAACAGGTAAATTTTAAATCACAGGCATGTTACACTTTCATTTTTCCACACATTGCAAGTATATTCCATAATATATAATTTATTGGAAAAATGAATAGATACGTATAAAATTATTTTTGATCTTAACATTTCGGTGTACAGGTATACAAATATTGTTTGCGTGGTTTTGTGATTGATAATTTGGTCACGTTAGAGTTATCTTATCTTATCATGTTTAGGCTTATCTTAATCCTCATTTCATGTAAAATATTTTATAAACTTAAAATTTTCAAATATCATTTAAAATGCCTCCAAAAACCACACCCGAATTAAGGCTAAAGTGGAGACACTTTTAAAGTTAAAATGGTCACCATCGGTGATTATTAAGCATCTGAAGACTGAAGACATCACCATTAGTGAAACAATGATATATACCATCAAGAAAAAAGATAAAAATAAAGTGAAATGTGTTAAAAAATTGAAAAAACGTGGACCAAAAGGTGTTTTAAGCGAACGCCAACTTTCAGACCTCAAGAGCGCCGTCAAGAAACCCAACCCACAGACACAGCAATCACTGGCCAACCGCTTCAAGACATCTCAACAGGTGATCAGCTATGCCCTCATCAACAGATTTGGATTAAAATATGCTAAAAAGCCTAAAGGTCATGTTTTAAGTGCTAAAACAATTGAAAAACGGCACAAACGGTCATGGCCAATGTACCGTCGGTTAAGGGGCGACAGGTGGACAAAAGTGGTCACAACTGATGAGGCCTGGTTCTACCTCAACACTGTGAACCGCCAGACCCGCTGCCAATACATCTCAAGAACACAAACAAAGGCAGACATGGAAGTGTTCACAACTGAATCACACCCAAAAGGTGTAATGGTATGGCTCGGTATATCGGCCCGCGGTTGTACCGAGGTCAGATTTGTTGAACCTGGGGCAAAAGTAAACTCTGAATATTATATTCAGAATATCTTAAAGCCATTCATTAGACGAGATTTGCCTAAACTTTACCCCGATGGAGACTTTCTTTTTCACCAGGACTCGGCCCCGTCCCATGCGGCCAAAAAGACCCTGAAGTTTTTGGACGACAACAACATTCCCATCATAACACCTCTACAATGGATGCCAAACTCACCCGATGCGGCCCCCTGTGATTATTTTCTTTGGGGGTACCTCAAGAATAAATTAAAATGTAAAAAAGTTAAGACAATTTCAGGCCTTAAAAAATCTATTCGTGAGGAGGTTCGGAAAATCCCGCAAAACATGGTCAACAAAGCATTAAAAGCTTGGGGTAAAAGATGTCGTCAAATTTATTATAATAAAGGTCTTCATATTGAAAGACATAATTAAATTATCAAATAAATTGAATTTTTTATTAAATTTTAAAAAACCACGCAAAAAATCTATGTATCCCTGTAGAAATTGTTAATACTAAAGGAAATGTTTACAAATATACCCAGGCACTAATCAATTAAGTGTTGCAATAGTAAGTGCTTCACTATTAAACTAATATTAATATTATTTACAATAAACAATTAAATTAATATAATA